CTACCTGGCGTGCCAACTGTCGGTGTTTCGAGTTACCACCGACGAGTAAATTTCTAGTATTGCGCGTCTGGCTCGGATGGTGTGCTTAGAGGACACGAGGTTTATACTAGTTCGGGTAGAAAGTCCCTACGTCCAGTTCATCGCTGCTACTCGTGTTACTAGCACTGAAAGTTTGTAGTAGGGGTTATAAACGGGCGAGAGAGGGAAATGATCCCCAAGTCTCTGGTGAAAGGAGTAAACGGGTGCCGAGAGCTCGATCGCTGCTCAGCCGTGTGTTCGTGTCGTGTTCTTGTGTGTTTATCTCGTGTTCTGATCTCGTGCGGATCTGGCTCGATCTGTCGATGGATCGATCCTTTTTATGGGGTGCCTTGCTTTCCCTTTTATAGGCTAAGGAAAAACGCGGGTTACAACGAAGGAAAAGGAGAAGAACGAGAGAGAGAGAGAGAGGAAGGTTGCCAGGACCGCCGTGTCCTTCTCCTTCATGCGGGTCTCTTCCTTGGTGTCAGAGTTTTGACCCAGGCCCATACGCCTGGACCTAGGAGTTGTTGGCGGCGGTATGGACCCCGTCGGGCGAGACGGAGCCCGCACCCGAGGGGTCGGGCGAGGCGGAGCGCAAACCCAAGGGTCGGACGAGGCGGAGCCCGCACCCGAGGGGTCGGGCGAGGCGGAGCCCGCGGCCTTAGAGTCGGGTGAGGCGGAGCCCGCGGTCTTGAGGTCAGGCGAGACGGAGCCCGCGACCTTGGGGTCGGACGAGGCAGAGCCCGCGGCCTTAGGGTTGGGCGAGACGGAGTCCGCGGCCTCAGGGTAGGGCGAGGTGGAGCCCTCCCCCAGAGGTCGGACGAGACGGAGCCCGCGACCTTACGGTCGGGCGAGGCGGAGCTCGTGGCCTCGGGGTCGAGCGAGGCGGAGCCCTCCCCCAGAGGTCGGACGAGGCGGAGCCCGCGCACCTGGGGGTCGGTTGGAGCTGTAGTCGCGCTCTTGACTGCTCGGATGAATCAATGTCAATGGCCATTAGCTCCTCCTCTTCGGGTACTCTAGTATTGATCCCCGACAATATGTATGTCACAAAAGTCAACTAACTCTCTCTATTTGTACACATGCAAGATGACATTTATAGTTTTGTCTAATGAATACACCTGACCTCTGGGTTCTCAAAGGGCAAAACTACTGAGTGAAGGGTTGAAGTGTTGGTGAATTTAATTCTGTTGGAACGCCGGATTGCAGTTGGATGATAGATGCCTTTTGAATTTTTAAGAAAGTCACTCACATAGCATGGATACATTAGAACATATCAAAACTAGCTGCTTCAGCTCTAAGTAAAAGCGAAAGGTTAGGCTAGCCAAAAACTAGTTATTAGGAAAAATGACAAGGGGGCCCCTTGCAATTTCCTCTTTTCTTTAAACAATTCCAGAATCCAAATTGATTATGTATCATACCATCCTGAAAATTGCTAACCTTTGTTGTCTTAAGATAAATGAGGTTTGCTAGGATGTACATTTTCCAGGATAGTGACTTCAGCTTTGCTTGGAACAACAAAAAGAGCGCTATGAACTATTGGAAGACTATGGACATTTGAAATGGATCCACCCAAGCTCTTTGATAGGGCAACTACTAGATTAAGATTATTTTGTACTTGCAGCAACTAGCAGCCTAATGCTAAAGTAATACCTGTGCCAGCCCCGCGTACTGTGGGTTTTCGTCAGAACATGGAGGATTCTCAATCTTACTTTGGGATCTCACAGTACCACCTTGGCCTTTTGCAATGGGGAAGTACTAAAACAAGAATAGTTAATATACTTGATCCACATATATAGATTTAGATTCTGATTGATACAGAATATTAAGGACCATGGACATTTGAAACTAGCCCACAGATCGGAGGGCATGGATGTCATGGATCATTTTCTTAAATCTTGAATATGTGATAAAGATAGCTATACGACGACGTAAAAACCATGCTTGATCATCCTGAATTCAGTATAACCTTGGCACAATATGTGTTGTGGTAATGCAAATAATACATTTAGTTCTGTGTATTCGACAAATCAAACTAGTTGTACAACTAACAATGCGCTAATTTGTACATTTCCTGTTCATAGGTATACTGATCTGTGGAGGACGCAGACAATCAGTGCAGATAGGAACATGGATCAATTTTTGACGGAACTGTTTGCAGCTTGACGATGGCCTGCTCTTGTCATGATCTATGAAGACATTGAGCTCTGCATAGTGTGTGTAAGCGCAGTTGCAACCAGGACAGTATGGTATTGCATAAAAGATTTCATTGTGGCTTACTGTATGCTAACAGCCAGGTAGCCAACTGGTAGGCAATCAAATATGCAAGTTCGTCATATGAAATATGTTGTTGTTTCTCCGTACTTGCTCGCAGTACTTCACTACATTGTTCTTCACATCTTATAGCACAGAAGTACGGAAGCAGACAATATGCATTATTAGGGCATTATCACAGAATCAAATACATGCAAAATGGTAACGCATTCGTATAAAGACAAGACTAAAGAGCTCCCCAATCAAAACCAAATTGAAAGGAGTGCAAGCACAACTGACGGTTCTGATTGCCCTGGTTCAAGTTCAACACACAGTGGCCAAACTGCCTTTGTCATTTCTAATCTAAAGAAGTAAACATCTTGCGAGAATATGCGGCTCTATCAGTTCTTTTCGAGACTAGTACAATACTACTGCCTCATTTCCAAATTATAAGTCATTTTGACTTACATCTATTTTACTATACATTAAGATATAATAATATGTCTAAATACATAGCAAAATGGATGAACCAAAAAAGTCAAAGCAATTTATAATTTAGAACGGATGTAATAGTTCAGAGTGAAATTATTGGTTCAGACCTGATACTTTCCTGGTCGTACGTCTTGTACCAAGTTTTCTCTCTGGATGTGAAGCATAAGATAGCTGCCAACTTGCTCATGCCAAAATATCAACCTCTGTCTCGATCGATCGTATCCAATTGGTCGCTAGTTGTTACCACTAGTCTTTTTTATGGACGTGACGGGATGGCCCTGGCCTTCAACTCCACCGTACCGGTGACCCCAGCAGCTGGACCTGATACTTTCCTGGTCGTACGTCTTGTACCAAGTTTTCTCTCTGGATGTGAAGCATAAGATAGCTGCCAACTTGCTCATGCCAAAATATCAACCTCTCTCTCGATCGATCGATCGTATCCAATTGGTCGCTAGTTGTTACCACTAGTCTTTTTTATGGACGTGACGGGATGGCCCTGGCCTTCAACTCCACCATACCGGTGACCCCAGCGGCTGGACGTGGCGATTCGGAGCCAATCCCTCTGCTCCTAGATGTGTGTCACTATTACGTCATTATAAAGTTATAGTTAAGTCCAGATACGATGGGGTTATCCTTGTTCTGACCTACAAAGATTCATGATTCCGTTTCAGCAATATTTTATCTGTCTACTTTGATACGACTTTAGTTTTGTTCTTTGTATTTTATTTGTGTTGGAATCTTGCAGCTGCCTCAAGTAATTAAGATGATATCTTAAAATAAATATATGTTTAAATACACAGCAGCTGGCTATATATATTGAATCAGTAGAACTAACCTCCCATCTTACACATGTATACCATTGATTGGCTAGTCATGAATAAGAGCAATTTCGAGAGTCTCTCTGTATCCTTCCTTATCGTTAGGAATATAGATTTTGATAGAAAAATAACCTCTAATAGCTTGTTTAAATAGATCCTCAAATATTATTATTCTCTATTCTGGATTTCTCGTTAAAAATATCTCTAGAGTGCACATAAGATATAGAAAAAACTATTGGAGGGTGGAAGGTATAGAGAGTGATTTTTATTTAAATAGCTCTCCAAATAATAATTTATAGAGAGTGAGTTCAACAAAGTCTCTTGGAGATGCTCTAAGCTTGAGCTAAATGGAACTCCTATTTGTAAAAAAGGTTTGCAACCGATCCCGTAAGCACCAATTGAATTATTAAAAAAAGTATATTTTTTTAGTAAATTACATTGGCGGTCCATAAACTATTACGCGATTCTTATCTAGGTCCCCGAACCATAAAATTGCATATCTAGGTTCCTATACTATTTAAGTATACCATCTCGGTCCAAAACAACCATGTCATAGTCCATTAATTAGCTGACGTGATGCCTCAGCGTGGAACTGACATGTGGGTCCGTAGCTCATAATTCACTACAAGAAATTTTGGGATCTATGACAATTTCTAAAAAAATTATATAGGTTCATGACATAAGAGTTATGTTTTAGATTCATTATGAAAAATACTTTTATAGTATAATTCATATGTTATAAAATTATAAGGATTTTTTTTGAAATAGATGGTCTAATATAGTAATGTTTGACTTCAAATAAAACTAATGTTATATGTAAAAAAGAAGGAAGGGAGTAGTTTATGTCCTCTTGGAGTCCAAGCTAAGAAAGGAAATTACCGCCATTTCTCATTGAACTAATATAGCAAATATCATACATGTGAAGGAAAGTCGATAAAAATAATTTTGCATCACACGACTTTGACTAAGTAGAAAAGGATATATGAGCAACTCCAAGAGCTTATATCCTTCCTAATTGACAGGAATGGGAATATAGATTTTGATGAAAAATATCTCCCAACGAATTCTTTAATTAGATATCCGAATATTGTCATCCTCTATTTCGGATTTACTGCTAACCAAAGATAGAGAGCGGGCTGGCTCACTAGGGTGCACACAAGATACGGAAAATTTGTTGGACCGTGAAAATATATAAAGAGCGATTTTTGTTCAAATAACTCTCCAACTAATAATAATTTAAAGAGTGAGTTTAAGAAAGACTTTTGGAGATGCTCAAATGTGGTTAACATTATTTCTGAAGTTAATTTTATTTTTGCAAACACAAGTTTTGTTATCTATATATTTTCTTAAAATTTGGTAGTTCGTCATGATAAAAACTGCAAGGGTACGGAGTAGGCGACCTACAATGAAGGCTAACCAACCATGGCAACCCGGAAAAACTTATGGCCAATTTTTGCCTGCAGTCAACTCCCGATCGACCTCTTTAGCAGCAGCACAAAATTTGGGATACGAATGACGTCCATTTATAGCCATTTCACGCCCTTGTCTCTCTTGTTAACCTCGCGGTCATTCCAAATCCGAAAGGACCACGCAATGTTCCGATACCTCGCTGCTCTGATTCTCGTCGCCGCCTTGGCGGCGTTTACGAACAAGTCCGTTGATGCCCGCGTGGTCCACCCCATCGTCGGCCCCGTCGTCGGCCCCGACCTCGAGGCCGCCAGCCCATCTCCCGCCGATGACGACGACGGCCGTCGCCTGATCGGCACCACCGGCCACGATGAACTCGTAGCGTTATGCCAACAGGTAGCACATGCATGCAGGCACGAATTTGATTTGTTGCGTAGTATAGACGAATTGCAGTGCGGTACGTAGGGGCTTGATTTCTTCCTGAATGAAGACTTACAAATGTGCATGCACACGCAACGCATGGCATGTGCGTGCAGATGCACTACAAGACGTTGTGCACCACGATGACGACGCTGCCCGGGGTGACGACGCCGGAGCAGCTGCTGGACGCGTCCCTGCGGATCACAGCGGTGAAGGCGGCGATGGCGGAGACGAAGCTGGACGAGGCGATAAAGTCGGGCGGCGCCCAGGGTAACCCTATGATGTCGTCGCTGGAGACGTGCAAGGAGAGCTACGCGTCGCTGGTGGACTCCATCAATACCTCGCGGGACACGCTCAAGAACGGCGGCAGCAACGCGGACCTCATGACGGAGCTGTCCGCGGCGGCCACCTACTCCACCGACTGCGAGGACACCTTCGAGGAGCGGCCGGAGCTCCAATCGCCCATACCCGGGGCGCAGCGCCACATCAGCCGCCTCGTCAGCAACTGCCTCGACCTGGCAGCCACCATCAAGGAGCAGCCCTAGACGCCACCAGGCCGCTTGCATGCATGCATTGACGAAAACACGCAGTGCAAGCATGGTACATTACATACATGTATGTTTATGTGTGTCTCTGCTAGTGTACATTGCTCGATCTGTCGTACATTTGCCATGGGGAGCTTCAGTGCTTATAATAGGCTTATGTTTATGTTTACTATAATAACTTTCAGAATATATAGGTGTTTTCGGGTCTATGAAATGCAATTCTAGTTGATGAAGATCTTCTAAGCATGGACAGTACAACCCACCGAGGAGTTTTTTTTGTGTCTTTCTTAAACTCACGTTCTAAATCATCATTTAGAAAATCATTTGGAAAATCATCACTTTCTGAATCTTTTCATCCTCCAATAGATTTTCTATATCTTATACGCACTCTAGAGAGTTAATCACTCTTTATTTTTTACTAGCGAGAAATATATAATGAAGTATGATAATATTTGGATAGATCTAATTGAAGAAGTTATTGGAGGACTCCAAAGAAAGTTGCATTTTTCTGAACTAACGTTGGATTTATTTTGTAGGTTATTCTACCCATTATTGGCAAACACATAAGGTATGCCTTCGTTCCGGTCATACCTGCGAACAATGCCAAACTCATTAATTCGTAGAAAATTGGGTTATTAATTCCTTGTACGAGCAATGCTGCAGAATCAAGATCAAATGAATTTTGCTGCCATCAGTCACCACTCTCCATCCTGTTTGCCTATGTTACAAATACGGTTAATTAATGGTAGATTGGTGATTGATCTCTAAAAAGATAGATTAGTGATTAATGCAAAATTTTATTAGCAAAGGTTGCTAATGACAGATACACACATCGGAAACCATCATCTGAGTATAAATATCTAAGAGCATCTCCTACCGACTCTTTAGAAAGGAAAAAAAACTAAACCTCCACAGTTAGAGATGCGGAGCCACTGCAACGCGTTCATGTTCCTCCAGACTGCCCCAGCCGGTCAACCGGCAGCCTGTGCAGACGGCGAGTGGAAGCGCCGAGCTGCGCAGATGTGGCGAGCCTCCTGAGCGCCTCCGTCTGTACCGTGAGTTCCAGCGACCGCAACTGCCACAGGCTCTCTATAGCTCGTCGAAATTGGCGCTGCCGACCGTGTACCAGTCAGGATAGCTGGAATACATGTGCAACACTCGCAGCTGCATGAGACAGGATATCAGTCCGCCGGGAACGACTCGTAAGCTAGAGCGGCGTCCACGAAAGCTGCAAGAACCTCATCTCCTCGCGCTCATCTCACGGAGCCACGGTGCCGCTATGTTTGGGTGCGACAGGGGTTCGAAGATTTTCTCAATCTACGTGAGAAGATCTTTTTCTTAAACCGAAATACCTGTGACTAACTAGCCACCGCAGATCCAGTTTCGAGCGTCCCAACCTCCTGTGGCAGCGCGACGAGGTTTGTGTGTCAAATGTCTGAGGTGCTGCGGGTCCCAGTGTCCCACAGAGCGCTGATGTCCACTGGAAGCCCCGTGTTTGAGAGATCAAAAAGCCCAAAACTCTATTTAAAAAAAAACAGTTCAAAACTCTCAGGTCTCAGCCATGGCATGCACCGGAAGGTGTCACTTTCAGGGACCTTTGCCAGCTTGCGGTTCTCGCAATCGCAGAGACGAAGTCAACAGGTCAGGGCACGACGGCGCCAACGGCAGAGCAGAGACTGATACAATCTAGTACCTCTAAAAACGTAGATCAAAAGGTAATCTCGACTTAATGGAGAAATTGGTTACTGTACCTCACCTTAGCGCAATTACGTCTATGGTGCCGCAGCGATGTGGACCTCGGTGTCATGGCAGCGTAGACGTGGTGGAGTCCAGAGTGCGGGGGGCTGCCGGCGGCCCTTCCCGTCACTTGCAACGTTGCCCACGATCGGAGGTGATTTTAGGGTTCTTCAGTAGGGTCCAGTGACGACGTCGAAACCTCGTGTCTAGCGCTCCGGCCCCCATCTCTCTCTTATAGCGCTATGTGACAGGGGTCCGCCGATCAGTGGTCGGTTGTGTGTCCCCGATTAGGACACAGTCAAGGGGTCCGACTCAGTCGTTGGACTGAGTCGGATGAGATCAATCATAACATTATCCCCTTGATTTCACCTTATAACGTAAATTTAACTTATTTTATCTTGTTCCCATTCCATCACAGATCAGTGCAAAGAGCGTGCCTCATCGTCACGGTCTGTTGCCATTAGATTAAACAGCTACAACACACCTCTCTGTTTTGAAACAGATACTCAACTAGGCCCTTTTGGTATCCAGAAATCATAGGCTTTCCCATAAACCCATGTCGACTGTGTATTCTATGAACGCACTGGGTGGTTAGCCTTTGGTAAGCGGATCCGTAAGTACTTACTCAGTACTTATGTGCTCAATGCTTTTTAAAATAATTCTAGATTTTCTCCTTTACGATATATACCTTAGTGTCAATATGTTTGGCAGCACCTTTGACTTGTTGTCTTAGGAGTTAACTTACTTTAAATGATTATTGTTGTTGTCTACCATTGTTAAATCCGGGTACAAATTTTTTTAACCTCCTTTTGCATGTTCCTTGAGCCTCATGACAAGCTATACTATGGTATGTATCACTGATGACACCACAACTATTTTTTGAGCTTTTCTACAATAATACTCCAATTGCGAGTGTTAGCAACTGATGTGGATTTCACTACACATCTCGCCAAGACTTAACATTTGTACCCTCAACTATTTGAGAGTATTTGTTCTTTCTTACTTAGCATGAGGCCTATGATACTTTATAAAATTTCAAGACATTCTCAACTCTATTCCAGTGATCTATATGTGGACTGGACTTCTGCCAAAATATCCTGGATACGTAAACTACGTCAGGGTAAGTTCTTACTTGTACTTGTACACTCATCAAGCTTCCAACAACTGAAGCATATGGAACCATGTTCATTTAATCGATCTCATATTGGTTCCAGGAACACTTAAAGTTTCCAAAACTATTACCCTTGACTATAGGAGCAGGCGTAGGTTTACTTGCATGCATAATTTACTTCTTTAGAATCTTTTCTAAGTATGTATTTGCGATAGTCCTAATACTCAATTTTCTTCTATCTTGGTGAATTTCGATTTCTAGAACTAATGATGCTTCACCAAGATCATTCACATTGAAACTTAGACAAAACTTCTTCTTCTTCAATGATAGATTAACATCACTACTAGCGAGTGGAATGTTATCTGTTCACAGGATGTGAAAAAAGAATTTTCTATTCTTGAACTTCGCATAAACGCTATTGTCCTTCTCATTTTTCTTAAAACCTAAACTTTCTTATCGTTTCATCAACATCAAATACTACTGTCTAGAGACTTGTTTTAACCCATAAATGGATTTCTACAGGCGACATCCCATACATTCTTTTCTTCCACGACAAAACCTTTTGGGCTGTGCCATGTAATCGTTTTCTTATAAATCCCCGTTGAAAAATGCCGTCTTTACATACATCTAATGTAACTCTAAATCGTAATTTATCATTAACACCATTATGATTCTAAAGAAATTCTTACATAAGACTGGAGAGAAAACTCTTATTGTAATCTTTTTATTCTCTTTGTGTAAAGCATATTGCTACAAGTCGTGTTTTATATCTTTCTACGTTCCCTTTGGAGTCACATTTTGTCTTATAGACCCTTTTACATCCTACTATTTTAGCTCCATTAGGAATTTCTTCTAAATCACAAACATCGTTGGTATTCTTCGAATTCATTTCAACTTCCATAGCTTCTTGTCATTTAAACGAGTAAATGCTTCTCATGGCTTCTTCAAATGAGGTGGGATCGTCCTCCATTTGAATTTCTTTACTAACATAGACTTCATAGTCATTTGAAAAACTGGTTTACTAATTCTTTGAGACCTTCTAGGATCTTAGCTACTGGCACTTTCATATGGGGTTGTCGTTGCTCTTCATTGCCAAGAGGCAATTGATTCTACAGGCTCCTGTATCACAAGATTCTTTGTTTACATTATTCATCTTCTTCGAAGAGCCAACAACAGGTGTTGTATTAGTCATACAACATCAACAGGTATTAAGAAACTTATTGTTCCTGAGTCATTGAAGTGGGCACGCAGTCCCTCTTCTCTTCAAGTCTTAGGTCTTACATACCTCTACATACCATGCCCTCCCCAGATCTTTTCATCTTTTCTAAAGATAGTGTATCTTTAAATATCTTATTTTGGGTTCAATATGTTAAAACCTTATATGGCGCTTTAAGCACCTCTTTAATATCTTTGATGCTGACTACGCTATCTTCCTGTCGGAACTTTTAAAAGGTCTAGAAATTTAGCTATTTCTCTGCTTAGGGGTATTCTTATTATGATTGTCGTACTCCTCCGACAGTCGCATACATCTTAATTAATCTTTATCTCACTCTTAATGAAGAGTATCTTTCTTAATGGATCTTTATCTCACTCTTAATGAAGAGTATTTTTCTTAATTGATCTTAATATTCTTCCCCTCGAAATATGGCATGAACTTTACTGCCATAATTTCGATAACTATTCAGAAAACCTATGAACGAGGAGACACTTATAACTTACTTTATTCACATGATTGTGTCATATAAACAAAGTTATTTCTTGATCGATTTAGGAGTACACTTTCCTTATTTCACTTGAAGAACTCAACGGGGTCTATCATTAGCTGTACTTTTGCAAGTCATGCTTGCATCTTTTCTTATCCTTTTGGTTAGTATTGACCATGACGATGTATTTCTATTGTGCCACGGTCAATGCTCGGACAGCATAATAGCTACCCAAACTTCTCTCGCTATGCGGGATACAAAACATGTGAATCATCACAAAACTTCTCCCGCCATGCAGGATTGACTAGCATAAGTACTATACCAAAACTTCTCCCCATGCAGGATAGATCTATATAAAATTTAGTCATGATGACTAAAACATTCACTTATATTTTATTTTCTAATTAAATCTTCCCGTTGGTTCTAATTTAATCAGAAAATTATTAAACTAACAAAAATTGTCCTGAACTGGCTTTACTCAAGCCTTTTCATTCACATACCCCAGCATTGTAGCCCGTTGGCATGCAGCCGAGTAATCTTGTCGGTTAAAAGTAAAACATACAATGTGCTTCTGCATCAATTCCACATCACCGTTGAACAGAAAATAGAATTGATGCATTAAAACTCATAAATTAACTTGAAATCTATATAACTACTCTTTAAAATTAAATTCTTCCGTTGGTTCGAATTTAATTAGAAGATCATCATCTTCATCGCAGTGGAAATTTGATAATAAAATACATTCTTTTAGTTCAGGAGCATTTCTTGGTCCTTAACTACTCTCTGAAAAATTGACCACATTGGTGTAAAATTTATCAGAGATTTAAACTTCAACCTTAAATTTATTATAATATTGTCATCATCAACGTTGGTTAGAAAAAGACAATACCATAATCTTATTTAAACTTCAAACTTAAGTTCATTATAATATTATCATCATTAACGTTGGTCAGAAAATGACAATACCATAATCTTACTTAAATAAAACCGGACTACTCCTCTAATTTAAATTTTCCCGTTGGTTTCAATTTAACTAGAGGATAAACTCAATCATAGTTTACTAAATATAACTGTTCTTCGAATTAAATTCTCCCGTTAGTTCGAATTTAATTAGAAGATAATAAACATTAAACTTTTCAGCAGAAACTTAAACATAATTTGGGAATTTAACCCACAGGACAAATTCTTTTGCTAATTTTCTTGAGCCATTAATCATTCTTCAGGAAATAAACATTTACTGTAAAAAGAAAAAAAATTGATTCATTCTTTACCGTACACTCAAATTTTGTGAAAAAAAACGGCCCGACCTGCTCTTCTTGCCTTGCTTGCACAGGCTCCTCCCCGGGCCATAACTCAGGCCTAGGCAGCAAAACCCCATTCATTGGCGCCCACTTGGGCCAGCCTCCGGTCCGTTGCTTCTACGCCGTTTGATGGAGATCAACGGCTGAGCGCGCGTTTCGGATGAACAAAACCCGGCGACGGCGTCGTCACCCCCGAACCCTAAGTCATTTGCTCTCTCTCCCTTGCCTTCTTCTCCCAGTAGCAGTAGAGTGGGCAGCGAATCCAAGGTGCCAGCGGAGGAATGGCGCTGTCGCTGCCCCCCTCCGCACGCGCACGCACTCCTCCCGGTGGGTGGCGCCCACCATCGAGAGGCCTGGCGGCGGTGCCCTAGCGCAGCGTGGAGCCGTGCCCTAGCGCGACGTGGAGCCCTTCCCGCAGTACTCCGGTGAGTGGAGGCCGGCGAGGTAGGCCGCCTCCCTAGGCCTTCCCTTTTCCCTTTCTTCTTCTCTCTGTTTGAATCTTCTTTTCTCTTCTTCCCGGAGCAAGTCCGATCTAGAGTTAGGGTTTGGGTCGGGTCGGGTTAGGGTTTGGGTTCGACACGAAACCTCTGCTACTGTTTTTCTTCCTTGAATGGATCTACGCGGGTTAGGGTTTGGGTAAGAGTCGATTAGGGTTTGGCCGAACCCACCGCTACTCTTTTCTTCAGTTGTTCTTCCCCTTCTTTCTTTCTCTTACCCCACGCGCCCACGGCGGCTCAGGGTGGCTTCCTTCCCGCACGCCGTCGAAGCGGCGGCGCGGTCTTCTTCCCACGTGACGGCAGTCTTCATCCTTAGAGTTAGGGTTTCGGTTCTAATTCTATTTCACTTTTCTACCCGATCTACAATCTACACAGTAGGATAACCTGGCTTTGATACCATTGATAGAACTAGTACCTCTAAAAACGTAGATCAGGGGATAATCTCGACTTAGATGGGGAAACCGGTTCATGTACCTCACCCTAGCGCAGTTGCGTCCATGGCGCCGCAGCGATGTGGACGCCGGTGTCGTGGCAGCGTAGGCACGGTGGAGTCCAGAGTGCGGGGGGCTGCCGGCGGCACTTCCCGTCACTTGCAACGCTACCCATGATCGGAGGGGATTCTAGGGTTCTTCGGTAGGGTCCAGTGACGGCGTCGAACCTCGTGTCTAGCGCTCGGGCCCCCACCTCTCTCTTATAGAGTTGTGTGGTAGGGGCCCGCCGACCAGTGGTTGGTTGTGTGTCCCCAATCCGGACACGGTCAAGGGGTCCGACTCAGTCGGACTAAGTTGGATGAAATCAATCCTAACAGAGACATATCGTCGCGGCGTCCCGCCCCAAAGCCGCCACGGATTCCATTCATCACTGCAGCCGGCTCATCATCGGCTTCATCCCCTGCTCGATCGTGACGCTGACAAGGAGCTCCACATGATCCCTCCCCGCTTCCCATCTCCGCCATGTCCCAAGACATGGCCGAAGCTGTCGCAGGACAAGACATGCTGGAAGGTCCTGGAGAACAAACTCCGTGAAAGGGCCAAAAACGAAATCGAACAAGGATCTGATAAAATCCATGCCACAGGACAGGAGAGGGGAGGCAATCCAAATTCCATATCATCCAGGATAGAAAACGCAAAGGAAATATGCATGAGAATGTTTTGTAGCGTCTCCTCGCTATTGCAACGAAATAACTTCCCAGTAGACTTCGAAAAACACACGTTGACCGACCAATCACAGGACACGTTTTGGTAAGAGCTTTGGATACACTCTATCCACTTCTTTACCTTGGAGTGAATTGAAATGAAATCCCAATTCACTTCCACACACATGGATTGGGACGTTGGAGTGAATTGAAATGAAACATAATCCCAATTCACTTCAACACACGTGAATTGAAATAGATAGAGTAACACACGTGGATTGAAATAGATAGAGTACATCCAAACAAACGATAATGTATACGATAGGTTTACATAATGAAATTAATGTTCATTACAAGTAACTTCCTCAAAAAAGGATTCTCAACTTTGAGACCGCGACACACTGAACTTTCTTAGAGTACGCAAAAATTGGCACAACAGGGACCTCAACCAGCGTCGTTGACCTCTCGAAATGGAAACAAAAATAGTTGAAACTAAAGAAGTCATAATAAGTTTTGGCAGGTTCCCTTTCTTTTGCATGGATACATGACAACGACATTTACAGTAAAGAAGGGCAAAATTGTTTCAACCTGCAGTACAGAATCATCACCAGTTGTGGCAGTGTTTTGTTGAACTCAAATCAGCCCGTGTAATACAGAATGAAACAAATCCAAGTTTGGTACCCACAAAAATAAATCAATAATAATACAAGTGAACTGAAAATTAAAATTATCCTTTTTTCCAAAACTATACTTGATGGGTAACTTACAATAACCAAGGTAAGGTGAGCCTAACAAGATGAACAAGCCCCAGGGGGGAAAACCTTGTATGGTCGGCAGAAGACTTCCAGGCTAACATCCAAATGCCAACCGGTTGCTGTGTCTCGAGCAAATATGTATCTTGCAGCTTCATAAATGTCTTCCAGCAGCCAGAAAAGAGAAAACTCATATAAGTCTCAGCTCATATTCGCCAGCCATTGTGATATATCTAACCCAGGGGAGTGCCTGGTAACCACTCTTTTCAATTATCTTCAGATAACGGACCTGCACAACATACAATATAGCACACCATTCAGTGGTTGAAGATTCCAGATAAGATAGAATAGATAGAATGCTACTCCCTCCATTCCAAATTATAAGACGTTTTGGATTTTCTAGATACATAGCTTTTGCTATGAACTTAGATGTACACTATGTCTATAAAAGCCAAAACGTCTTATAATTTGGAACGGAGCAAGTAGAAAAATAGACAAATATATTCAAACAGCAACCTATTACCTGAATACCTGATACGGTGAAATATGGTATCTCAAATTTCACTCGTATCGGCGCCTTCTTTTCTGGGGCCCCTTCTTCCGCTGTTATGCTAGGAAGACTAAATTCTGCTCTGCACATATATTCCTATAGGATGGATTGCTTCAGCACATTAGCACACATCAAAATAGCAATGAACATGGAAAAAAAATTAATTTGGAATTGGATAGTAATTACCTTGCCACCAGGGAATGATTTTACTTTCCAGACCATTGCATCTCTCTCAGGAGCATATGCAGCAGAACCCATTGAAGTTCTTATATTTGGGTTTGTGGCATCTGAAGGAACAGGCACTTCAAGTTCAACATTTGTTGCTGTGCTGTAAATGGAAAAAAGAAACCCATTCTTTTAAAAAAAAAAGCCCATTCCTGTCAGACAAGCAAATCTTGCTTTTGTAAATAGCGCTCACCTTCTTTCCTTGAACTGACTCCTTGCCTTCACCATGAGTTCTATACGGCTTCGAGAATGTTTCTCAATCTGTGCTTCGACCCAGATAAGAGGTTTTACCTAAAGGACATCAAATAAAGACATGCATGTGAAAACGATAAAGTGAAAACATTTCATATCTTCTATAAAGCATTCCACAGTTGATCAGGAAGACAAACCTGAGTGCTAAGCCTGTATGTCATTAGATCAAAAGATCCATCAGGAGGTACAAACGATATAGTTCTATCATTCTCGAATCTAGCCAAACGTACACACCTAAAAAGAGAAGGGAGAATGGTCACGCTGAATTAGTGATGCAACAGATTTGGTGAAGAAAAGAGCAATATTTTTTGCTTACTGATGAAATTTGATATCATCAAGGTCTATCGCTTTTCCTTTAGTTGCTCTGCCTTGAGCCTCCAAAAGAACCCTATCATTCAAGCCGAGTTTGCACTCCGGCATTCCACTGTTTCAAAATATCTCACTGTTAGGGCTACAGATGTGTATATCTGAATGCGAGAAGAATATTAAAGTGTGACTGCGTAAAATGAGTAGTTCAAAAACCCTAGCCGGCAGGTTCACTTTTAGAATCATGAAGAAGAACACATCAAATGAAATTCAGAAAAAAACATTCTCATTGCGTACATCTTGTTTTTAAAGTAGGCCATGAGTCTCCAGTCCAGCTATTCTCAGTACAACAGAAACACAACCAACATCTATTAACTAATAAATACTACCTCCGTCCCTGAAAGAGTGTCATTCTAGGTTTGGACTAAATACATCTACTGACTAAATAAATCAAATGAACATCTATTTATAGAAAATATTATCAACATTTATATCTCCAAATAGATTAATTATGAAAATATATTCCATAATTTAACAATGATACTTATTACACCTAATAAATATTAGTATTTTTTTGTATATATTTGGTCAACTTGATTCATTGACTCCTCGAAAAATTAGAATGACACTCTTTTGGAGACGGAGGTAGTACCACGCAAATAAGAATTAGGTGCAGTACAAACATTACGAGCATAAACTATGTGTTTTGCACCTTTCAAGTTTATCTCACTTCATGGTTCGACAAGTAAACATCTATCTGAATACTGGATATAAAAAAATCATTAAAATATTTTTTAGGGAAAACTACATGAATAAATTATTGACCTCACAACTAGTCAACTTCCTGTAGTATACTCACCCTGGTAAAGACATCTAAACCTTCGTTTTGACGTTTTATTGTTAGATAGTGATTGCTGATTGAGGTTTCAATTTCAACCTTTGTTAACTTGCTTGTGAATATATATTATTTCCAGTTATGAATACAAGTATTTACAGAAGGGAATACAATATATAGCTCCTAAGATCAATATATATATATATTATCTAAGATAACAGTGAAGGAGACATTTTCTGCTTAAGTAAACTTTGAAGTTGACAAAAGCAATTGCTAGCTAATGAAACATTATATCAAAATATTTACAGAGTTAATAAAATTCCATCCCTACAATATGCATAACTGGCAATCCCAGGGTATTCATTGTGTTCTCTGTGACTTATTTCAAGACTTGTACGGTTATAAACTTATACCCCATAAGCATGACAAAACTATAAACAGCTTGCAAGGAAAATAAAGATGGAGAGTCTTCAAGGAGAGGAAAATATACAAGTTTCCAAAAGAAAAGAAACAAAAATGAAGCAATTAAGTCATGTAAAATAGAAGTTCCAAGCAGGTTCCATCAAAAAGGAAAACACAAAAACCAGCAGAAGTGGAAAAGAATTACAAAATAAATACCCTGAACAAAGATTTGAGCATATAAGCTAGCAAGAAAAATAAATGGAATCAGAACTAGTAACATCCTCGAGTTTCAATTTAAAATTTTCATATCTTTCGATCACTAATCTACATCGTAACAAAGAGAGGCCATAGTAATATGGTGTGCTATCCAATCCAGCATAAATCAGTAGATCTCAGGAACAAATTCGCCCATAGTAAAGCAAGCTGTTTTCTAAAAAAAAAAAATAGATCAACAATAAATTGATCGCTTGTTTGAAACAGTATTCTACAAGGGCTTAAATTATAGGTAACATTTATTTAGTTGTGTGATCACTGATCACATGATAAGTTGCTTTAAGTCTTTAATAATGTTTAGCAAGATGACGTCATAAAGCTGACAATGCAAACTCACCTCAAATATGTTCGCATCTTCAGTGCCCCAACCACATCTGATCTCACAATCTGCCCATTGCTGTTAACTAGAATGTTAACACTCTCCACTACATCCAAGAAGACCTGTTGATACAAAGTGTGGTGGTTTGTCAAGTACCATCACAGAAATGATTGCCTTCATTAAAAAGAGAGATAGTAAATAGTAAATCAACATACTTCATTCTTCTTGTACCGGATCCCCTCACTCCTCCATGACACAGCATTTGTCACGGCCATGGGTGGACGCTGCGTGACCTCCATCCTGTATGCATCTGTCTTGATGAACTCACTCAAGATCTTCGCCTCCGTGTATTGTGGGTACCCAAAATCCATCATCTCATCAAGCAACTCATACTGTAAGCACAAAATGGGCGCTCCATCGTGTCAAGTCCCAGTAACCGCACATCAAACAGAAGTACTTGAAATTTGCTTACCACAACGACAAAGTTATCTCTGAGCGACTCCTCTTCCAGCTCCTCGAAGTAGTGCTTAAACACCTGTACTCACGCACAGGTCGCATGAACAACAAGTGGTACAATGTCATCAACGATTCACTTCAAACAGGGGGGCGAGGGCACGTACATCTACGACACGGTGGAGGAAGAGGAGGATGCTGGCCGCGTTGCAGTTCTGGCGAGCGGCTGTGAGGATGAAGACATTGTTGTGCTGGATGAACATGTACGTGACGCCGGCGTCGTCGTAGACCACAGGCGAGTGCACTTCCGAGTCGTCCTACCCATTCCACGACAAGTCAGCACCAGCGTCGCACGGATCTCAGGGGCAGACAACAGGCAACGTGAGAAGGCCGATCGGCCACTTACCTCCTTGTCGAGGAGCTTGGTAAAGAAGCGCTCGGCCTGGAGCGCGGAGACATCGCCGCGATAGTCGCGCCAGACGAGGACGCGGCCCTTGATGTCCAGCAGGAAGAGCGCCGACACGGCGCCCGCCATGGTGGTGGGGGGCGATCTCGTCCTCGCCGCCCACCGGATCTGGATCTGCACGCCCCCGCCTGCGCCTCTCTATCTGCGGCCAGCGGCGGCCATGCGGGCGCGGGGGCGCGGGGGAGGAGTGCTCTCGGATCTCGCCTGCCGCACCGGCGCCCGACGTGCTCGCGCGGCGCGGCGCGGTGCGGTGCTGGGTTGGATCGGAGTCGGAAACGGAAGTGGAGAGGGTGAGGAGAGGACAGGATCCGGGTGTCTTTCTTACGTCCCACTGGACGGTGGGGCCTGGATGCTGTCCGGTGTGGAGCTCCTCTTTTTGCTGATTGACAGGTTGAAGCCTCGGAGACGGAAGGCCCTAGTCCTAGCGAAGCATTTCACATTTCAGGAATCATCAGGCAGACCTGGATCGTACCGTGATGCTACTTTGGGCCTTCTTTGCATTGGGGTTAAAATTAGTATTTGGTAATGTAGCATTTTTATTTGTATTTGATAATTATTGTCCAATCATGGTTCAACTAGGCTTAAAAGATTCGTCTCGTAATTTACAATCAAACTATGTAATTACTTATTTTTTTATCTACATTTAATACTCTATGCATGTATCCAAAGATTTGATGTGATGGAGAGAGAGTGAAAAAACTTGCAATCTAAATAAGGCCTTGGCAGGGCTCATGTTCCTATGGAGCAATTTTTCTAGTAGGGATACAGAGCTGAAATCGTTTAAAAAATATTTGACAAAAAAACTCATGTAGTAATTTTTGTGAGGAAAACCTAGGAGAAATTGCACCATTATAAGGAGTCACAAAATATTTGACAAAAATTGCACCGCTTATATTAATTCTTGTGAGGAAGACCTAAAAGAGAGATAGTATCTTTCGGCTCCGACTCCCCCATCAAAAATGGCTTGGATTCCTTCTGACTCCTTATAAGAGATGTTTTTTAATGACTGTTTGACATGTCTCCGGTCTCCGGATAAGAGCTGCAAGAAGTTGGAGCACCGTGTCAAAGAGACCCTTCATTTGAAACCTCCCCCACCCACAGCGGTTTTGGATAGTAGTTTTGCTACAATGACGGTGGTTTTGTCTTTTATTTATTTATTTCCGCTGAATCTTTGAAAAATCATTGTAAATCACATAAAAATCATAAATGAAAAATTCAATTTTGTTGAATTCCACATGAGTAAATCTACACAGTGAATATATAATATGGTATTCTTTAGTACAAAGTTTTTGTTGTAGCTTTAGATCTATGTTTTTTCTGTAATTAAATGGAATAATTCATAGCGTAGCTTCTATGGTCCAATTCTAATGAAATTTTTATGGTAGGCTAATTATTGTATGTTTGAATTATAGTAAAAATTTCATACTCATTGGATCATGTATAAATTAGTTATAGATAAAGCATAGATTTAACAAGCATAAACCTAAATAAATCTATAACTAAGTTATACATGATCCAATGAGTATGAAATTTTTACTACAGTACAAGCATACAATAATTAGTTCATCATAAAAATTTCACCACAATTGGACTATAGAAGTAGCAGCTATGAATTATTCCAATTAATTATAGGAAAATATAGATCTAAAGCTATAGCAAAAACTTTGTATTAAAAGCATACCATATTATATGTTCATTGTGTAGATCTACTCATGTGGAGTCCAACAAAATTGGATTTTTCCATTTTATGATTTTTCTGTGATTTACTATGATTTTTCAAAGATTCAGCGGAAATAAGAAAAGGACAAAACCACCGTCATTGTAGCAAAACCACCGTCCAAAAACGCTTGGGGGTTATTTCACCGATTTTGAAAAGTTCAGGAGGTAGAAAATCCGATTTTATAGTTTAGGGGGTGAAGTAGTCCACCCTGAATAGTTGGGGGTTATGTAGACTTTTTCCATTGTTTTAATAAGTCTAGAGTTTGTATGTTGACAAACAAACCCTAGAAAGGAGGAAGAAAATTACAGTACCCTGGCACTCATGTTTTTTTCATATATTATCGATCGCTAATTCCTTGTGGAACCATGACGAAAGAGAGCATCAAGAAAACGTCCTTTTGTTATCCATATATCATAGAAGATTCAAAGTTTTGATTTAGCGTAAGAGACCTAGCCAGCACAGAGCAACCCAAAGTCCAGCAACCGTCAATAGGATGAATGTAATATCGCTAGAAGAACATCATGAGACATCTTCTTTGATTTGGCAAGACAAATCCTTAGCTTTGTGAAACATGGTCGGTGTCACCAAACCTAGCGACTCAGAACAGGATGACATCACCATTTACTCCAATAGAGCATATCCGAAACCCAATACAAGCCTAGATCACACTTCTATTCTATTGTTTGTTTTAACTAGGTGTAGTTTCAATGTATCCTTTAGGAACTTCAACCCTACCCTCAGAATGTAAAATTTATAAATTAAACCAAAATCGTTAACTCATGCGCTAAAAATCAGAGATGCTAAGACCATGACCCATGCAATAAGGCAGTGCTCTCCATTCACATCCTTTGTCCCTCCAAGTAAAAATCTCCATATCTGATTAGTTCTTCCTTGATAGCCCATGCAAGAAGATCCACGGACCACTGCCATAGCTAGATAAACTAGCATTGAGGCGAGAACAAACTGCACTAGCACTTTACACCAGCCTAGGTAAACAACTCAGTTTTCCACACCAGGAGACAATCGATCATCCTGTCGATGAAAGGTGGAAGTACTTCTATTGATGACGTATGAAGTGAGGGGCAAACCAAGATACTTATATAAAAAGTTGAAGCAATTCACAAGGAAAATGCTCATATACCGCAGCGATGTCCAATTCCTTGCACTAATTGGGTAAATATTGCTCTTTTGCATATAAGGCTTCACCGAAGAGGTACAATATATCTAGAGTTAGATCAATATGGTACAATATATCTAGAGTTAGATCAATATGTTAGAATCGTTGTGTACCTTTGTGTAGCCGTAGATCGGAGTAGACCTCTTTAGGGTTCATCTATTTCGCCCTCGTTGCGCTGCAACCTCGCGGACGTCGGTGTCGAGGCAACTTCGGCTCGGTGGCGAGGTCCAGTGGTGATCCCGTGGGCTATAGAGGCGAGACAGTGGTGTGGTGGAGCTTCCCGTCGCTGGCAGCACTGCTTTAGATCGATTTAGGGTTTCTATCGTGGTGGATCAACGGCGGCTCTGACCAGCCTCGTGACTCAAGCCGTGATCCACACCTGTCTTTATATGTGCTGTGCGACAGGGGCCCACCAACCGTATTAGGGTTGGGCTCCCCCGATTAGGGAGCAGAGACAAGGGCCCAATAGGCCGTTGAGCCTATTGGTAGAGATCAACTAACATTCTCTCCCTTGATCTCACTACCATCTTTTAATTTTATTTACTTTTGTTCATTCCATTACAGATTAGCGCATAGAGCATGTCTCATCGTCACGGTCCATTGCCGATAGACTTAACAGCTACAACACACTACTCTGTTTTGAAATAGATACTTATCTTTGGGTCTTCTTTTGTCAAGGAATTTTAGGCTTTCCCTTAAACCCATGCTAGCTACATGTTCTCTGAACACCATGTTCTCTGAATACGTTGGGTGGTAAGCCTTTTGTAAGCGGATCCACGAGCATCTTTTCTGTACTTATATGCTCAAGACTTATGACTTGATCCCGGACTTTATCTTTCACAACATAATACTCTATGTCAATGTATTTGGCAGCACCACTTGACTTATGTTGTGAGCATGCTGTACTGCCGGATTATTATCGCAGTATAACTTAAGTGGTCTATAGATGTCGTCAACCACCTTCAAACCGGGTATGAACTTCTTTAGTCAGTTCACCTGCTCGTTGCCTCACAACACGCTACACACTATCACACATTGTGGACGATGTAGTGACGGTTTGCTTTGAGCTTTTCCATGAAATAGCTCCCCTTTGCGAGAGCGAATACATATCCAGACGTAGATTTTCTATCATCTCTCGCATAATCAGAATCTGAACATCCCACTATATGGAGTGAATCAGACCTTCTATACGTCATCATGAGGCCTTTCGTTCCTTGCAAATAACGCAAGACTTTCTTTACCAATTTCCAGTGTTCTGTTCCAGGATTGCTCTGAAATCTGCCAAGTAACCCGGTAACAAATACCAAGTCAGGGCGCGTACATACTTGAGCATATGGTAAGCTTCCGACAACTGAAGCATATGAAACCACTTTCATTTGATTGAGCTCATATTGGTTCCTAGGGCATTGAAAATCCCCATATCTGTCGCCCTTAACTATAGGAGCAGGTGAGGGACTATATTTGTGCATACTGAATTTCTTTAAGATTCTTTCTCTGTATGCCTTTTGTGATAGTCCTAATACCCCTTTTCTTCTATCTCGGTGAATCTCGATCCCTAGAACAAACGAAGGTTCACCAAGATCTTTCATATCAAATTTTGAGGATAAAACTTCTTTGTCTCCTGTAGTAGACTGACATCACTACTAGCAAGTAAGATATCATCCACTTACAGGACAAGGAAGATAAACTTCCCATTCTTAAACTTTGCATAGACACAATCGTCCTCTACATTTTCTTTAAACCCAAAATTCTTTATTGTCTGATCAAACTTCAAGTACCACTGTCTTGAAGCTTGTTTTAATACATAAATGGATTTCTTTAGGCGGCATCCCATTCGTTCTTTTCTTTTCATAACAAAACCTTTCGGTTGTGCCACGTAAACATTATCCTCCAAGTTTTCGTTGAGAAATGTCGTCTTTACATTCATCTGATGTAATTCTAAATCGTAATGTGCTATTAATGCCATTATGATTCTGAAAGAAACTTCACATGAGACTGGAGAAAAGATCTCATTGTAATCAATCTCTTCTCTTTGCATAAAGCCTTTTGCCACAAGTCGTGCTTTATATCTCTCTATATTCCCTTGAGAGTCAAGTTTTGTTCTATAGACCTATTTACAGCCTACTGTTTTGGCTCCTTTAGTAATTATCTTCAAATCCCAAACTTTATTGG